TATACGTTCTTGGCAGATGATCCCGAAGTGGTTTGCCATTGCCTTCTTCTGTGTGTGAATGGAGTAATTGTTGGGATGGAGAAACCGGGGAAGCCCCCGGAGGAAAACTCCGTGTTGCCTAGACCACGGCCTTGCCCAACACAAGTTATAAATTCGGGCACCGCCGGGAATGTAGTGAATACCAGAACATAAATTGAACTGCTTAGGTAATTATCAACCTTTCTCAGAGACATTCATCTTTACCACGCTAGATTTTCCAAGGATATAACAGGAAGGAAGCATGGGGGAGTAATCTCCCCAATATTGTACACACCTGTTCAAACGTGATATTTTGTACTAGCATTCATCTCCTCACATTAAAAACTTCCAGTACCTACTGATTTTTGGGACTTTCTACAGGTATCCTTCATAACAAACACTGTCACTGCAATTATTTCTCCACTTTAATAAATTATGACAGTAAAAACTCTGAATAAAATGTGGGAACACCACATTTCCAAACCAAGTTCAATTACCCAAAACACACAATAAGGCACTACCATCATCAAAATAAAAATTTAGTAAACAGTTCCACAATTTTTATCAGTAGGTTACAATATATCAAAATATGTAAGCCATATGCTAAAAATCACACAATGAAATCCAACCTCTGGCAGCACTGTTACTAGCCAAGCCTACTCCTGCTATATTACTGAGAAGGCTGACAAGAGAAGCGCATTACACATGTCAGCAATATTAAATACTTTTCCCCACAAATCAGCTATGTTCTATGATGAATGGATGTAAAACCAAAAAAAAAAATTGACAGTGGAACCATGGTTCCGGAGAATCTGACGTAAATACTTCTTTTGTATTTAAATTATATTTAGGCAATGAAAGGAAGTTTATATATTGGCTTTATTCTAAATATTCCCTTTATACATGCTTTACAATTGAGTAAATAGTTTGATTAAAACATTACTTATTTAACTTGAATTAGTTACGCTTAAGATGGGTCTGTGGTAGCTGAAATATTTTATAAAATTTGTACACTTTAGAATATCAACATTTCGTGCAAATACTACCACATCTATACATTTCGATCTAGTAGTACTACATTGAGGATTTGACATCAACATTAAGCCAAACGTTTCCTCCATAAATGTGACAAAGCTTTCATTTCCCTCCTTCTTTAAATCAATGTTAAAATCTCCTACCAATATTATGGGCATTGTTTTACGACCTTCTGTGGCCATAATTGAAAATTTGGGAGCAAACATTCCCAAATGACTCAAAATAAATCTCTTACAATCATCAATAGGTGTGTTGTTAGAAATATACAG